ACGTTTTTTTTTATATTTTTATTATTACTGCAACAACAAGAGTTTAGAGTTTATTTAACTTCTTTTCGCTTTTATAACTACGTAATTTATATTAACATTAAGAAGATTTTTAATATAGAGATACAGGATTAATACACAAAAAAAAAAACTTTTTTTTTTGATGTTGTTAAGACGATAATAATTATGCTGATACTGAGATGTTTGGCATTTTCCTTTGAAATTTTCTGTCAGCCTAATAATTTTGAGCTGTGCTAAATCAGTCCCAGGGATATCATGAAGTCGTAGTGTAGAGTAGTGCCATGACAATTTATTTACCATTTGAAATATTTTATTTTGGCATATTTGTAGCTTTTTACATGACATTTTGCTGATGATGACCAAACTGGTACTACGTAAAAGGTTGGGAAATTCCTTTGAATATTAGTTTCTAATTTTCAAAACTTAGTTCCGACTTTCTATTTATATATGGAAACATAAGTTGGATTTGCTTATTAATTTTGTCCACAATGTACGGAAAGTGGTTCTTGAAATTTATTCTAGTGTCAAGTATGATACCCAAGTACTTGACGTTGGTTTTCCAGTTTATGTTCTGATTATTAAACAGGATTGGCCTATGTGGAACGAGACGTCAGCAACGCTTTCTCGGGAAATAGATAGCTTCAGTTTTATCTGTATTAAGTAGGATCTTCCATTTGAAAAAATATTTATTTTGCTCTGATAGTGCTTTCTCTAGGCTTGCAATAATATTGTAGGATGAAGTTCCAGAACATAGTATTGCAGTGTCGTCCGCGAAAAATGAACCGATGCATTCTGGTATAATTGGGATGTCTGATGTGTAAATGTTATACAAGATAGGCAAGAGACAGGATCCTTGAGGACAACCAGCAGTGATCGATTTTCTGACAGAAGCAAATGGCGCTATCAAGTCATAAAATTATCTATCAGATAAGAACCTTTGTATCATTTTTATGATTTTATTTCATCCATTCCCGGAGATTTACCTTCTTTCAATTGCTTTAGTAGTTCACGTACTTTTTCAGAGTATATTAAAAATTGTTCAGCTGTTTCGGAACTATTTTGTTTAACTTCTAAAGCTATTTTATTTACCTCTTCGCAAGCTATAGCATTACTCAATTGACCGCTCGTTAAGTGGTTTTGTTAAAAATGTTCTGCACTTTTCATTGACGTATAATAAGCTATATCATTTTTTACTATCGTCGGAATTTGTTTGTTCTTTTTCTTTAAAAACGGTTTGGATGATCTGTCTAATGAAGATAACATTGTGTTCCAAGACTTGTTTCTGTGAACCAACAATTTCTTCGTTTAGCCGATTTAAAATTCCTGGAATAAATATTTCTATGTTGGATTAGTGTTTTTATATGGTTTGGTATAGTGTTTATAGGTGTAGTAAGTTTTCTTTTGGGAACGCCGTATTCAACAGCCGGTTTAACAATTTCTGAAAACACGGTGGTCGGTTTCGTTGATCTCGAGCATGGATCTATTACTATAATCTGACGGCAAATTATTGTTTAAGTACCTTCGATACCGATTCCAATTAGCTTTTCTGTAGTTGTAGAAAAATGTATAATTTGTTTCCGGAATTGATCTAATTTCTCATATAACAATCTTTTTATGATTTTGTAAATCTAAAACGAAAAGTTTCCTCAAAGCCCTCAGTATTGTAATATAACAATAAAGAATTTGTCACAGATTTTTTTGTCACAACTTATTCCAGTACATCTTGCCAAATTAAAGATTCGTATCCTTATAAGTTATCACAGGCTGATCAAATTTGTATGCCTTTTCTACAACGTCAGGAGGTGTCCAATAGTCTGCGTAGTTTGAAATCGATTAAATGTCCAGGGCCGGATGGCATACCTAATATAATTCTTAAATATTGTTCAGAAACATTAGCACTTCCTCTAACTATATTGTTTAATTGTTCACTTAAATTTGATCACTTTCCTACTTTCTGGAAAAAATCTTATATTATACCTTTACATAAGTCTGGTAGTCTTATTGAGGTTTCAAATTATAGAGGAATTGCAAAATTAAGTGTAATTCCAAAATTGTTCGAAAAATTAATCACTGCCGTAATTTCACTGAAAATTCAATCTATATTGGGTCCATATCATCATGGTTTTCGTAGTGGTCTTTCAACTACAACAAATCTTATACAATTTACGTCAACAGTAATAAAAGGTTTTGTTTAGCGTAAACAAACTGATACTGATTTCAGTAAAGCTTTTGATATAAATTAAATTGTATGGGTTTCAACACAAACTTAGTCAAATGGATATCATCTTACTTACAAGATAGATCACAACTAGTTTTGTTTGAAGTGTATCAATCCAAAACGATTAACGTTCCATGGGTGTTCCGCAAGGAAGTCACCTTGGACCGGTCCTTTTTCTTTTATTTATCATCGATTTACCTAATTCCATAAATTACTCGAAATTGTTAATGTACGCAGATGATGTTAATTTATTCATTTCCCATAATTGTGATAAACAAGCTAGTTAACTTCAAAACGATTTAGATAGCCTTTTTCAATGGTGCAGGTTAAATTGTATGGAGTTAAATTTATGCAAATGTAAGCATATGTGCTTCTCCAGATCTTCTTCTCTAATATTGCAATATAATATTGACAGTCATTCATTATCAACTGAAGATTCATTTGTCGATCTAGGCCTCTTGATGGATCCAAAATTAAATTTTAATAGCCATGTAATATCAATAGTAAATAAAGCAAATGGTGTTTTAGGTAACAAAACAGTTATTTACGTCTCTTGTTAGACCTATATTAGAATACGGTTATGTTGTATGGGTTCCTCAATATGCAATATATTCAGATAAAATAGAATCCGTGCAAAAACAATTTCTGCTATTTGCCTTACGAGGTTTACATTGGAATAGTGATTTTGTTTTGCCTTCTTATGCTAGCAGGCTAAAATTAATTAGATTGCCTACACTTAAAAGCAGACGTATTATATTGAACTCCATGTTTGCACTAAAAATATTAAATGGTAATATACCTTCAGATTTCCTAATCTCATCTATTAGAATTAATGTTTCGTTTAGATCTAGTAGATACTACCAATTATTATATACTGATTTTCACCGCACGAATTAGTAAAATGTGTGTCGACTTTAATTCTGTGTACTGTATTGCAGATTTGGTATGAGTTTAGAAATTATTAAATCTAGAATAATTTTATTTTTAAACAATTAAAATACATGTTTTATTATTTAACAAACTAGCTGATGAATTAGATTCTGTAGCTGGCTTTCAATTTCCTACTAAATTCCCATTATGATGCGGATCATGACGTGTACGCGATCCCTTCGTAAAGGGAGGTCGCCCCCTCGGTCGACAGGGGTGGGAATGTGAGGCGTGGGAACGTTCGATTAAAAAAAAAGAGGTATGTGATCGGATCCGAGATCATTTATTGTTTTAGTTAATTAGGTCTAAGTTCGAAGGTTGTCTCCTAGTGTCGGCTGGAATATACCAGCAATCTTGAGAAAACAGAATTAGGAAATTGTTCTGTTGGTATTTTTCATATAAAATATTTCCCCAAGAATTATTCCTGGAACAACCCCAAGAATGAAGTTTCTATTTGAGGTAGTTAACTTTAGGATGTTTAAAGCATATAATCGTCTCCTTGTTGATAGATCTTTGGTCCCACCATTAAAGTAGCTTGAGTATATATTTAAGAAGCCGTTTTCGGTAGAAAGTGGGACACCAATGTTTTCGATCAATGACGTATTTATTATGGGTAATAATTAGTGAACTATTCCCTTTTTAACCAAAAAGGCAACTCCACCCCCTCTTTGATCATGTTGATTGGTTGATATTTTTGTCTAGTCTCGAGAAATGATTTTCTCGCAGGACATTGATTTATGGTTTCCGTTAGAGTTAGCACATTTTACTGTGGTATTTTACATTCGGCAGTATGGTGATTTCCACCGCAATTAGCACAAAAAATTTTAACGTTGCCACAATTTGAGCCGTGGTAGTTGTAATATTCAGTAAATTTATTTCTGCTAGATCTTTTATATTCCCAGCGAATTTTTAAGTGATTGAAATCGGAATAGCGCAGTCGTAGTTCTTTAAATCTTATTGACTTCCTTTGAAATTAAACAACGTAGATAACATTTTCTAGAGAGGTCTTCTCAATTTTCCTTGTTACAAGCTTAACAACGACAAATTTGAGACCCATATTAGTAAACACAGTTCGGTCCAATTGAAATTTTTCTAATTGAATAATTCGTTATCTTTAGAATTCTGCATAGCTCATATATCTGTTCAATTTTGCACTTTAATATGATGATTGGGGCACCTTAACTTTTATCGATGAATCAATAATAACTTCATCATTATTAGTGCTAACGTCATCATATATCCGGTTATTCGAATTACAAATCGGAAATTACCTTAATTATATATGAGTTAAGGATCTAAAAAAACACAATGATACGAATTACAAATCGGAAATTACCTTAATTACCGAATCGGATTTACCTTAATTATATATGAGTAAAGGATCTAAAAAAACACAATGATATGAACCATATTTGCTGATTTTTTTAATACGGGATTCGGTAATAGAACAAGAATACAGTTTTCATTTGCTATTTTTCTTTCGAAATGAGTTGAATGACCAGAAATTTTCCATGGAAATGTAAAGCCAAAAAAAAAAAATCACACGCTGTACACGCCCCATTGTTGGTTCATCAGGCATATTAGTGTGGATGGCTTATGAAAGCCGAACGTGGATCAGTAGCATTGGTTTCGAATATATTTTATTCAACTATTTTTAACCAACTATTTTTAAGCCATCGATGATTATTGGCTAAGTAATGAATATATTAGAAATGTTAATGAAATATGTATCTAAAATATTAAAATCAGTTGGAAAAATACTGATATTAGTTCGCAAATAGTATTTATTAATTATTCGATTTTTAGAACTATTCTAACATCAATTTCTCATATTTAGGAGGATTCGCCATGGTGTTCCTTGCAAGAGGAAATGTGGGCAATACAAAATATGCGCTTAAGCGAATGTATGTCAACAATGAACACGACCTTAACGTAGCTAAGAGAGAAATACAAATCGCAGTAAGGCAATCGGATACAGTAGCACCAATCCAGTTTTTACAAGACCGATGTTTCTTTTTTTCCAGAGCAATCTAAATGGCCACAAGAATATAATAGGATATATTGATTCCAGCATAACACATACTGGAAATGGGGTTTGCGAAGTACTGTTACTAATGCCGTATTGTAAAAATCATATGCTGTCTATGATGAATGCGCGGTACGTAAAAAATAGTCTAAAGTTTTTATTTAATCTTAACGATACTATGTGTAATTATATCTAGCTTACAAGTAGGGTTTACGGAACAGGAAGTTTTGACTATATTCTGTGATATCGCCGAAGCAGTCTCTAGACTACATTATTGTCAAACTCCAATTATACATCGTGATTTGAAAGTAGAAAATATTTTACAAAATGATGCCGGAAACTTTGTTCTCTGCGATTTTGGATCAGCAACGGCGAAAGTTTTAAATCCCCAACAGCATGGCGTTTCTGCTGTGGAAGAGGAAATTCAGAAATATACGACACTCTCATACAGAGCACCTGAAATGGTAGATCTTTTTAGTGGAAAAAATATAACAACAAAGGCTGATATTTGGGCACTGGGATGTTTGTTGTATAAACTTTGCTTTTTTACATTACCTTTTGGAGAGAGCACCTTAGCCATTCAGAATGGGACTTTTTCTATCCCAGATAATTCAAAATATTCTAGGGGCATGCATCAGTTGATTCGATTCATGTTAGAGACCGATGCGGAAAAACGACCAAATATTTGGCAAGTTTGCGATGTTGCTTTTCGACTAATTGGCAAAGACAATCCGGTCCAGAATTTGCAAGTATGTACTTTAATTTTTAACAAGAAATAATACTATAACTTTTTTAAATTGTTTTTTTTAATTGCAGAAAGTACCAGCTTTTACTCTTGATCAGTTGCCAATTCCACCATTTGAAAGCGAAACTAAACGCACTTTGACAACAATTACAAAAGCTGTCAAGCCGCAAACTGTCAATATAGTGGAATCTGGTACAAGCGTGGCACCAAGACAAAGGCCTAAGGGATCTTCAGCCGTCAACATACAGAAACCGCTAGGATTAGGTTTGCCACCAAGTCCTTCTCCACGTACCAATATTACATCCCCTCAACCTCAACAACCAGTAGCGGAACAATTTCAAGTTAACTTCCCCACCACTGCAAATGTAGATTTATCGAATACGACTACCGTGAAGAGCTCGTCCGAAGTACTTGTCAATGCAACAAGCTCCAATAATATCCCTTCCGAAAAATTGAGTAGTTTGTTTGATGCAACCGGGTTCCCAGATCCATTTAGCGAGTCTATTGCGCCCAAAGCACAGCAAGATGAAAGCGTGGATAGAAATATTGTATCTTCAAAGGACACAAGTGTGGAATCATCTAATGTATGCGATCAACTTCTGTCGCCCCCAAAAACTTCCCTGCAAAATGCTGCATCTGGACATCGTCGTAACGTTAGTGATACTTCGGCTTTTAACAAGTAAGTTCTTTTTAGAAAATACACATACATTTTATTGCTCCAATGTGTGAATAGCAGATGCCCCATCAACGCTAATGTCGTTGCAATTTCTGTATGATCAAGCTCTCAATATATGTTGGATTGTGGCACTGTAATCTTAGACCGCTTGTAAAAAATCGCACCCTCTCAATACATTTGGATAAAATTATATGATGCTCAAAGAGATATACAAAAAATAATTTGCCGAAAGTTTAAATAAGCCGAGTCTGGTCGAGCCCAATTTTATTGCCGAAAATATAAAAAAAAATATAATCCTTTTTTAAATTACAACAATCAAATGAAGTATTTAGTCGACACTTACGTTTTGTCGCGATGCGAAATTAAACAAAAATTCAACTCTAGTGCTCTAGAAATAAAACGAACATTTTTTGAGTTGTCGCCCAAACTAAATAGCCAACGTACTTGCTTCCCAATAATGGTAATATGGAAACATAAATAAATACAAACCGACTTTTTAAAGACTTCTTCAAATTTCTACTTTTGCAAAATCCAAATGTTCACATTTTTTATTGATCGTTTCTCTTTCAACATCCAAAAAATATGTTAGAGCAAATGTCTTTTCGACTCGATAGGTCTGGTTAGCTTAATTTCGACCACAAACTCTGTTTTATATTGCTAATTAAATTTAAAAGTAGATGTCCATTACCAATAACATTTTCGCTAAGCGAGTGTGAATTCCGTCACATTTATCCTAGCTGTAGCTGAATGCAATTCGTATTTTATTTTATTTTTAACTCGTATCATATTTGTTGTTATTAATAAACAAATATATTATAACGAGGGAATCAAATATCCCTATTGTTGGATATCAAGCAAACAGTTCTAGAATTCAATAGTATGTCAGAGAAATGTAAATAATGAGCTTCCGGAGAAAATAAGTTCCGAAATAGAACTGTGTTGTTGTTGTTGTAGCAGTAGTACATGTATGTGTTTGCGTTCTGCTAATCTGGTTCCAGCTCCAGGTTTACAAATTCGGCTACTTTAACGGGCTGTAGCCATAGGTCTTCTGGAGTGAATTGAGTAGGTTTGGCTGAGCAATTAAAAAGGTGTAGCGTATTGTGCGGGCATGTATCGTACGCCGGGTAGGCGTCACGCACATCTTCATCAATTCGTGCCCAATACGAATTGAGACGACTACACCATCCTGAACGTAATTGCGCCAAAACTACCCTGGTTTGTCTAGGCAGCTGACGTTCTTCAGCTGCTATGGATGGGGGGTGGACTCCGAGGACGGCATTCACTTTATAACTGTGTGTGTGAATGCCACTCAGACCTGCCTGATAGGCTTCTTGATCTAGAGGTTCTTTCTTGTAGCGCTGGACCTCCCTCTCTAGATCATGTATGTCCTTCCTGACACGCCTGGGTGGGGGAGAGTGTTGGGATGACTCTCACGGTAACACCCAAGCAGGTGCTGCAACGAAAGCATATGATTATGCTGACGTAAGGGAAGGACCTGCCTGATAGGCTTCTTGATCTAGAGGTTCTTTCTTGTAGCGCTGGACCTCCCACTCTAGATCATGTATGTCCTTCCTGACACGCCTGGGTGGGGGAGAGTGTTGGGATGACTCTCACGGTAACACCCAAGCAGGTGCTGCAACGAAAGCATATGATTATGCTGACGTAAGGGAAGGACCTGCCTGATAGGCTTCTTGATCTAGAGGTTCTTTCTTGTAACGCTGGACCTCCCTCTCTAGATCATGTATGTCCTTCCTGACACGCCTGGGTGGGGGAGAGTGTTGGGATGACTCTCACGGTAACACCCAAGCAGGTGCTGCAACGAAAGCATATGATTATGCTGACGTAAGGGAAGGACTTTCGCCTCCTCATGTAGATGTTCCACTGGTGTCATAAGGAGGCACCCTGTCGCAGTTCTCAGGGCAGCGTTCTGGCAGGTCTGGATATGCTTCCACTGCGTAGCACTAGTATTCGCAGACCACACTGGAGCCGCATAGCTGACCACAGACCGACCTATCGCGTTATAAGAGGTCAACAAGGTTTCTTTGTCCGCACCCCAAGAGCTGCCGGCTAGCGCCTTGAGGACCTTGTTCCTACTTTTCATCTTGTCGCAGATAGCTGTAGCTTGCACGGACGACTTGAACATGCTATCGAACGTTACCCCAAGAATCTTGGGGTAGTTCGTGGTCGGTATTAGATTCCCCTCGACCTGAACATTCAGCTGTGTTCTCATCTCCGCAGACCATGTGGTAAAGAGTGTAGCCGTTGACTTCTTGGCGGATATTTTCATATTACTCGCGTGGAAGTATGCGGCAAGCTCCGCGAGATAGGGGTTCACCTTTCGCATATGTCATCGACCACTGGACCCGACGCCATGATCGTACAATCATCCGCATACGTTACGATCTCAATGCCGTCTGGAGGGCGAGGAATTCCGGAAAGGTAGAGGTTAAACAGTTCCGGAGATATCACCCCACCTTGGGGAACTCCTTGTTTCACTCTACGTGATTTGGACTTCTTGTTCCGGAATTCCACGTACGACTGGCGTCCACACATATAGTTGATTATCCAACGTTTCAAACTTGGCCGGAGGGTAGTTCTCTGTACGTCCTCAAACAGTGTGGCATGATTGACCGTATCAAATGCCTTTGATAGGTCAAGGGCTACCAACACTGTTCTGTCACACGGCCTGTTCTGGTTCAGTCCTCTACTAATATGTGTGGAAATGGCGTGTAATGCTGTTGTGGTACTATGTTGTGGACGGAATCCGTGCTGGTGGTTGGCAACTGTATAGCTTCCTCTAATGCTGGGGAGGAGTAAAGCCTCAAGAGTCTTTGCTACTGGCGACAAAAGCGAAATCGGCCTGTTCGATTCGCCTTTTCTGGCATCCTTGTCTGGCTTCAGTAGCGGTTTTCCAGGTTTCGGGCACTATGTGAGTGGCTAGCGACAAATTGAGAACTTTCGTTAAGTACTCGACTCCCGGCGTATCCAGCTGCTTCAACTTACCATTGAGATTCCGTCCGGGCCCAACGCTTTGGATGACTTAGCGTTACGTTACGTCGTTAAAAGTGACTGAGGTCCTATCATCCTTTTTTCCAGGGTTCGAGAGCGACTTATCCGTTACCCACAGCTTACTCATATCGGTTCCAATGTTGCAGCACTTCAGATGGTCTAGCCACTTTTTCCTCTTATGCTCCTGTACCAACCGGTTGACTTCCACTGTCAAATCACTGATTCTAGGATCAGTAGGGTTGGTACGACGGAGATCATCACGCTCGTTTGCTAATCCCGCTGCCTCTGCTGGGAAGTTTGGTCTTATCTCGGGTATTCGACCAGCAGGTATATAGCGAGCGGCTGAAGCTCTGATGATGTTTCGGAAAATCCTTTCTGCTACCCGAACATCAGAAGGGTTGGGCAGTTCTCTGAAGTGGCGGTTGGTGAATTCTCTGAATTCTGGCCAGTGAGCTTTCCCATGGTTAAGGAAAGTGCGGCGTTCAGAGGTTATGAAATCGGGCGACCTGCTTATGGAGACGATTATCGGGAGATGGTCTGAGCCAAGAGAAATGACGGGTTGCCAAGTCACGTCATTTATCAGACCGGGTGACACTATGGTTAAGTCTGGCGAACTGTGACACTCTCCTCTTATTCGGGTGGGGGCATCCTCGTTAACCGTGCAGAATGTGGAGCAGTCAATCTGCTCTGCCAACGCTGATTCCCTTTGGTCATTACCTAGGACGGAATGCCACAACTCATGGTGGGCATTAAAATCCACTAGTACCAGACGGTTATTGCCTACCAATAATGGGCTAATATCAGGCAAATAACGCGGTTTACAGCTATTAATCGGCGGGATATACACATTAAGCACCTCTACCTCGGCAGTTCCACACTTGACTGCTACTCCCATACATTCCATGTATGGGTCACTAGAGACTAGCTCAAGCGTGATAGGTCTGTACTGAACAGAATGGTGTAAAAGGAACGCTAATCCCCCACCTCCACTTCTGGTGCGATCCTTCCTTAGTACGTTGTAACCATAACAACGTTGTAGGCTGCAATTTTCACTCAGCTTGGTTTCCTGCACCGCTGCGATCTTAATATTCCTCCGACTCATAAATTCCACTATCTCATCCATTTTGCCTCGAAGTCCGTTGCAATTGAATTGCAAGAATTATGCACAATCCGGATGCACGAAGAAGTGGACTCGCTGGGGACTACGTTACTGCAGCAAGTCGCAACATAATCCCTTTCGCTGTAGTCTCGCTAACGCCTTAGTCCGGAACAGTTCTTGAAGTGCACCCATTCTCTGCATCCAATACATCGCACCGAGACAGATCTGTGGTGGATAACATTCTGACAAACCGAGCAGAACCAAGGTCCGGGGTTTTCCTCAATCCCGGTACGGACCAATAAAATCCGGAGCAAGCATTCCGGGATATGCTGCTCCCAATGCAGAAAAATAAACAAACACAAACATATACATACTGGGTTGGCAGCCGCTGGCCGACACGGAATCTTGTTGTTTCGGGTCAATCCGGTATCGTAGAACCCGCTGCCGTGGGATTGATAGAACTGTGTTGTTGTTGTCTTCGCCTCCTCATGTAGGTGATCGACAGGTGTCATGAGAAGGCACCCTGTTGCGGTTCTAAGGGCGGCATTCTGGCAGGACTGAACATTTTTCCACTGCGTAGCACTGACGTTGGCGGACCACACCGTAGCCGCATAGTTTACCACAGACCGGCCTATCGCGTTGTAAGAGGTCAACAAGGTTTCCTCATCAGCTCCCCAAGTACTGCCGGCCAGAGACTTGAGGACCTTGTTCCTACTTCTAATCTTGTCGCAGATAGCAGTGGTATGCGCGGACGACTTAAAGAGGCTATCGAATGTGACCCCTAATACCTTGGGGATAGAACTGTGTTGGCATGTTTGTTCGGGATACCATAGTATTTTGTTGTTGCAAAAGGATCTGTCTTAATCCCATTATTGTTGTTTTTAGACAACCAACG